AGTTCAATGAGATGAAAACACCTGATGTGTTGTTTGCCGGCATGGGGCTGGACTGCATGCAAGAAGCTCGACGGCACTACCCATTGGTATCATCTGGCAGGCGGTCGAGACCCACCGCTGACCTGCAACCTGTCACCATACCCGCATGAGTATACCCTGAAGCCATAGCAACGATAGTTGTGTGGGGAGATTTTGAGCGACGAGTCTGCAATCACCCCCTCTCCCAACCCTAAACTCTAAACCTTAAGCCCTCAGCCTTAAGCCGTAAGTTGCATCCCGATCAAGAGATAGTAAATGTAGCCGACAGGCCCGACTAGTATGAAAAGCGGCTGCTTTAAGGGTTTAGAGTTTAGGGTCACTTAGGGTTGGCTACAACAACCTCAACCCTGAGCATTCAACCTTGGGCTTAAACCCGAAACTGCTAAACCAACCTGAACACTCAACTCAAAGCCCGTAAACACCAACGCGATAAGTCCTAAACCCTACTTAAAGGCTCGTGGGACTCAGTAAGCCAGGTTATAAGTAGGTTATAGTTAGGATAACCCCACTTAGGGGACTTACAGCCCCAATTATAACCTATTTACTGAGTCCCATGAGCCTTTAAGTAGACCTTCAAATGCTTAGCCCCACAACCCGCAAACTGAGAGGCTCTAAATCCTAGCCTTGCACCTCAGATCCCTAAACCTTCATGTGCCCCTTCCCCCAAGTCCCAAAGGTTTAGGGGTTCAGGGTTTAGGCAAAGCCTTCACCGAAATTGTACCCTAAAATTCCGAAGCCCTCACCCCATAAAATCCCCAACCCCCCGCCTAATCCTTTATCTATACCTTAATCCCCAGACACCCGACAATGCTTAAACCCAAACCCCAAACCTTAGCAATACCCAACCTTTAAACTTTTTGTAGTCTTGTAGTTTAGTAGGAGCCGGAAAGGTTAACCTGTCATTTCTGTGCATTATTGGGGTAGTAAGCTAACTAGGATGCCCAGTAGTACCCTTATTCCCTTTTTGTAGTCCTAGGTTCCTTATTAAAGTTACCCAATCCCAAAAAGAGAGGCCTTTTTATTCTTAGGTTACTGGGTATCCTAGCTAACGTCACCAAACCTGGACCTGGGAGGAACGGCCCAAGCCGGTGAAACCCGATGCTGACGTGGCCCACTGCCAGGCAGACAGAGATGAGGATCCTTTAGTAGTACCCTTTTAAAGGGTTCCTGAAAGGGGCTCTTTTTCAGGGATCCTTAAAGGGCTTCTAGAAGGGACCTATAGGGCTTTAGGGTCTACTTATTGGGTTTCTGAGTAGTGCCCATTTTATTTTGGGGTCTCCTTTTAAAGCCGAATAGTTGGGAATAAACGGTATCCTTATTACAAAAGGGCTACCCACAAACCTAGTCTACCAGGTATCGATGTGGGATAATGTTGAAAGTCCCTGTTTGTTGAGTATAGAGCACTAATCATTTACAATTTTGAGGGGCTGTTCAAATCGACAGCAAGTATAAGGCTTTGATAAGGTTTTAGGGCTCTTTGGATTGTTACAGGGTTTTGGGCTATTCCGAGGTAAGAAGAGGGAGACCCCCTGAAGAGGACCCTTCTTAAATTTATTTCGGGCTCTATTTACATGGACCTCATTGAGAAGGTCTATATCCCCAAGGGTCCCCCTAATCCTGACTCTGAGGTTAAGGGCTTGGAATTTGGGGTTTGAGGATGTAGCCTAAAACGGTATAACGGTATGACCCTAAACCCTCGACACTATGTACGGGGTAGTTGCCCTTATCAGAAACTTCAATCTTGATCCGGAACCGGTGAACCCTGAACCGTATACTTTAAGACACTTCAACCTCGAAATCATAAACCCCAAGCCCGAATATAGTCTTAAACGAAACCGCAACATAGATCCGTCTCCGAAACCTTCAACCTTGAAACCTTGAACCCAAAGCCCCAAAGCGTAAAGCCAAACCCTGCTCTGTCTGAATAAGGTAGGCTTGAGAGCCATTGCACTGAATAACTGAAAATCCCTAAACCCAAAACCCTAAACCCCTAAACCCTAAACCCCTAAACCCTAAACCCTAAACCCCTAAACCCTAAACCCTAAATTAAACCCCTGAATAAACAATAGGAAGCCCAATCTGTCGCTGCGAGGTTGAACCAGAACTGGCCTCCCACGAGATGCACCACGAGGCGATGGGTTTAGGGTTTAGGATCAACGGGGGTTTAGGGTTTAGGGTTTAGGATCAACGGGGGTTTAGGGCCGGGTTTAGGATCAAAGGGGGTTTAGGGTTTAGGATCAAGGGGCTCCTAGGGGTACCCAGAGACTCCGATATCCCTTAGCTTAAGCTATATTCCGTAAATCTTTATTAGGGATCCTCCTTTCTTAGTGTATATTCCTGAATCAAGGTATATTGGAGTGTCTGAGAAGGAGGGGTAATCCTCAGACAAGAGCCCGTATACAAGGCACCCTTAATCCTGCCTACTTAAAGGTTCATGGGGCTTAGTGAGTAAGGTTATGATTAGGAGAACCCCAATTAGAGGACTTATAACCTCAACTACTGTATAACCTACTTACTAAGTCCCAGGATCCTCTAAGCAACTTCATCCCACTGTTGAGGCCTCCAGTAGGTTTCTTGTCTCGGGATGTCAGAGTCTGTGTTTGGGTGGTTTTGGGACTTAGGGGTGTGGGGCTTAAGGGCCGAAGGCTCAAGTTCCGGGGTTTACTTAAAGGGTCATGGGACTTAGTAAGTAGGATTCCTTAAAGGGCTCCTTTAAGGGATCTATTAGGGTTCTATAGGGGGGAATTCGGGGAACTTAGAGGATCATGGGACTTAGTAAGTAGGTAAAACTTGGGGTGAAAAGTCCCGGAAGTGGAGTTATCCTCACTACAACCTACTTATAACATAACCTTACTCACTGTAGACCCTAAACCCTAAACCATTAGAGGGAACCCTTTCCTAGAACCCCATAATACCCTTCAAAGGAACCCTAAACCTTACTTACTAAGTCACATGAGCCTTTAGTATACCCTAAATCCTTAAAGGGATCCCTATAATAGAACCCTAATAAACGGAGCCTGACAATTTCGTGAAGAACCGATACAGGGGATTCAACCATAGAAGGAAGCCTGCAACATTCGAAAGGCCTTGTTGACAGCCTGAAAACCCTAAACCTCTAAACCCTGAAAGCCCTAAACTCTGGACTAGACCCTAAACCCTAAACCCTGAAAATTTTAAACCCCTAAACCCTAAACCCCTAAATCCTAAACCCTATAGATCCCTTTAAAGGAACCCTGGGAATTCCTTAAGGAACCCTGAAAATCCTAAGCCCCAAACCGGAGCCCCGAGGTTGCTATGCAGCCGACGCCAAGAACCTGCGCCAAAGCTGCGGAGGACAGCGGCTTGCCCAGAGATCCCAATACTTAGATCCCCAATACCCAACCTTTAAACTTTTTGGCTTCTTGTAGCTTAGTAGGAACCGGAAAGTTTAACCTTGAATTTGTGTGGCTTATTCGGATAGTAAGTCAAGGAATATACCTTAAATTACAGAGGCCCTAATATGATGATTTAAGGTATATTCCTTAGTTTAGGGGTATTGGGATCTCTGGGTGGATGCCATCGCATCTTGGTTGCGGGGGTAGGGTTCAAAGTGCACCTGTAGCCGAAAAGACCTACCATCTTAGGGTTCCTTTATTATGGTTTCTATATATAGTACCTTCAAGAGGTGAGTCTTTTCGGCTACAGGTAGGGTTTAAGGTTTAGGGTTTAGGGTCACATCAGACAATTAGTGAGTATGCTGTGCACAGCATTGGCAATGAGTACATACGCATATACGTACATACATCCATCCATCCGTCCATACATACAGACGTGTGAATGTGCACAACTAAACTGAACATACTGCAATGATCACATAGTATTGTCACTGACAGTTGTTATCACCATCATCAACATCAGCCGCAGCATCATCAATATCATGACTGTGTTTGTATATAGTGACTAACGTCTATGACTACGAACAAAGGCCGTGTGATGTCTCAGGACAGAGAATGCAGGGTCCCTCACCAGAAATGCCGCAGACATTTGACTGGGACAAACGCCGGCTGGGATGAGTAGCCATGTTTCGATCACCCCTATAGGAAAGCCCGAAAGCCTGAACCCAAAACCTCGACTTCTTTTACCTCAGCTGCTCTTCGTCATGAAGCTGGAAACCTCCGAAGACTTAAGTTTCGAGGTCATCCTTCTCACCAACCCTGGGAACGATGTCGTTCTCATCCGAATCCTCATGCATACGTTTGTAGTTTGGGGGCATGTGCTTTTGAATGCATAGCTTTTTTTCCAAGCGAGAAGCTGACAAGCTGTATTTAACAATGCCCCAATATAGCAAACAAAGGTAGAATATCTGTTCAAAGCACTACGCTTTATTAGCAAAGCAAAAAATCCGCATAGAGCCGGCTATCTCCTTACGAGGGACATGCATACAACCGCGCCACAAGGAGGGAAACAAACGCCGCATTTGAGCAAGCAAGCACAGCCCCACACTCTAAACCCCGCGCCTTATACCCAAAACTAGAGAATCGGAGTGGCCTTACTAATTAAGGGCCTTCGATAGATGGAAGCCGGCCCGGTACTGTGTACAGGGCTGAGGGTTTAGGTGTTAGGGTAGTTTGAGACCCATGCCGCTGGCAATTGCAAGAACTGTACTTTTGACCTGTCAATGCAATTCCTCAAAGTTAGGGACCCCTTATCTTGCACCAGAATGAGTGGCTTCGCACCACATTGATCCCACAGTGGGATCCGCCATTTTGGGCGGAACTCATGCCTGCGGACTGTTTCGGTGTTTACCATCTACGGCTGGGCACCAGATTCATCGAGATTTAAAGCCTTCACGCAATGTCCCGCTCGATGGATGCAGCAGCTGTGTTGGCTTCAAGAACAGCATGTCATGCATATCATGTGAGTAACATCATTTCTTGAAGAGGTGGCAATAAACTTCTGAATGGATTCCTATATGTGATTACATGGTATGTCTTTTGCGCATAGCACCTGACTTGCTAGCAAGCAGGCGCTCGCTGTGCATGATGCAGCTGCTCTACCACTCCTTCTGGCTCTCCCCGACTGAGGCAGCAGAGCTGCTGGAGAGATTCCCGCGCGAGAGCAGCTCCTGGAGTACGGCGCATCCGGGCGGCAAGGCTGACGAAGGAGGTGCGCGGAGAGTTCAGCAATGGGGCTTTGCTTTCGACTATGCGCTTTACGAGCAGGCCCAAGAGACGCCTGGCGTCGTGCCACTGAGGCATGAAGATGCTTAGATCCCCAATACCCAACCTTTGTTGTAGTTTAGTAGGAATCGGAACGTTTGACCTTTTTATTTCTGTGGCTTATTGGATAGTAAACCCTCAACCCTAAACCCTAAAGCCTAAACCAGTAAGGATGCCATGCCGAAGTGGCTGCAGGAAGTTGGCAACCGAGCTTTTGAAGCCCTGGGCTTTCAGAGCCATCCCAGCCAGGTCCTGGGGAGTTTCCGAAAATTAGGGGTGCCTTATTTTGGGGTCCTTTAAAGGGCTACTTTTAGGGTACTATAAGGGTTCCTTTTAAGGGCTCTATAAGGGTTTAGAGTTTCCGAAAATTAGGGGTACCTTATTCTGGGGTCGTTATATTAAGGATCCTAGTATTTAGGGTAGTATATTGGAGTCCCCTATTTCGGAAACTCCCAGGTCATCGTCAATGAGTACCTCGATGGACAGGGCATTGGGGCACATGCCGACCACCCGTGCTTCGGGCCCGAGATCGCCATCGTGTCCCTGGGCGACCCCATAGTGATGAGCTTCTCCAGGCGGCAGGATCTCCCTGCTTCGGGGCTACAAGATACTAGGTTGGATTTTGGGACATTGTTTTATTGTCCTTATTTGGGTTTATAAGAGACCCTATATATAAATACTTTTCAGGGTGTTTAAAGGACAGCCCAGGATATCCCTACAACTTTAGGGGGACAGGGGGACTTCAGCGTTCCCTTGGTCCACGGCTCGCTTCTGGGCCTGTCCGATGACCTGCGCTGGAACTGGTTGCACAGCATAGCCCCCAACCAGCGTTTGCAACGCAGAGTCTCGCTTACCTACCGTACCATCCAGGACTCGGCTCTACAAGCGCTGTGTGAGTCGACCCAGACCCCCAAAGGGATCTAACGAGATAGATCTCTCTTATTAAGATCATATTTGCGTCATAAGCAGGCTATGAAGAGATCACATGGGTTTCGATAGGGGATCCCCAAACCCTAAACCCTACGTGAAGGGATTGCATGGTTGTCACAGGAGAGCACTTGTCTAGATCCATCTGAGGGTCTGGGAAGCGTTGCTGGTGCACCCAATTCAGTAAGGGGACCCGGGGTGCTCCATGGTGAAAATGGAGAAGCGCGCTGCTGCAAGCAGAACTCTGTGCAGCAAAGATGCTTTCGGGTCGCAGGTTAGCGGCACTTACTAAGTCCTCTGAGCCTCTCAGTAGCTTTTGAAGCAAAAGGCCTTTTGCAAAACATCGGTGCTCCGTGTCGAAGCAGCAAGACCCATCTCAAACGGCCGATGATTGAAGCTCTCCGGGACGTTATCCCCCGAAAAGACTGTAACTCCCATGCAATATTATATATACATATGTATATGAGGCTTTGAGACTACAGGTGTTTGGGGTCTTACAGGCTTTCCATCGTGAACCCTACTGATAAGACCCAACACAGTCCCTCTACAAGCCTGATGTAATCCTGCAAACACCCTTGAAGATCCATTTTCAGATCGAACCGAGCGTACCAGGACCCCGCAAGTGCCCTCTGATAAAGCCCTCATGGCCCTTGATAGTGGGTATTTGGGGAATGTTAGAGGGTAGTTGGGGGGTCTAGGTAGACCATCTCGCTTGAGTCATGTCGCCGTGCGGCTGCAGCAATGGGTTTTTCTGACCGAATGTGGTTCACGTTTAGGTTTCAAAGTCATACCCAACCTTTATTCTTTGGGGTTTTTGCAGTTTAGTGGGAATCAGAAAGTTTAACCTTTTATTTCTGTGGCTTGTTGGGCTAGTAAGTTAAGAGCTTCTATGACAACGAGGGTTTAACCAGGGTCTTTGCAAGGCATTAGTACAGGGACCCAAATATTTGTAGTTGGTTTTTGTTGGGGAGTTTCATAGTAGACATTTAAGAGAGTTATATTAAGGGCCTAAACCCTAAACCCCGAAACCCTAACCCCTAAACCCTAACTATCACTAGTTCTACAGCTCGAGAGGTCAAATAATGAACCTGAAACCATACCTGTAGCCGGAAAGACCCACCTTTTTAGGGTTCCTTATTATGGTTTCTACATCTAGTTCCCTGGAGTAGGTCTTTTCGGCTACAGGTAACCCTTAAACCCCGGAAACCCTAAACCCTAAACCCTGAACCCTGAACCCTAAACCCTAAACCCTAAAACCCTAAAACCCTAAACCCTAAAACCCTAAACCGGTAGCCCTTAAACCCGGGAATGGCTGGTTCTAGAGCTCTTCGGATGGCAGAAGACCGTGGATGTCTGGGTTCCGCGTCTAGATTGTACTTAGAGGATCATGGGACTTAGTAAGTAGGATATAATTGGGGTTTACAAGTCCCCTAAGTGGGGTTATCCTAATAATAACCACTTGTAACCTTACTTACTAAGTCCCATGAGCCTTCAAGTAGAGTGTAGGGCTTAGACCCAGACTCCCGGGAGGATCCAAAAAAGTAGATCCCTTAATGGGGGTTCCGTACCCTTTAGTAGTATAGGGCCCCAAATTAGGGGATCTACATTCTAGATCCTCCCGGGGGTCTGGGGGAGGGTTTAAAGGTTCAGGGTTCAGAGGTGTTTGGGTTTGAGGCCTAGTGTTCAGGGATTGAAGGCTCATGGTTTGAGGCTTCGGGTCTTCGAGTTTGGGGTTTAGGGTTTAGGGCTCAAGGCCTAGGAATTTAGGGTTTGGAGTTTAGGGTTTTGGGGGTTTTGGGTTTAGGGCTTAAGGCCGGTTTTGGGTTTAGGGGTTTATAGGGTTTGGGGTTTGGGGTTTCGAAGTAAAGATGGGTTTGCCACCGCAAACCCCTACACCCCAAGACTGTGAACCTCAAAACCGACACCCCAATCCCTGCAGGCCAAGCTTATCCTAAACCTGCTACACAACCCTGACTTAAAGGCTCATGTGCCTAAGCAAATAAGGTCATAAATATGCTTATAATTGGGATGGCCCTACTTGGGGTACTTATAGCCCCAGATATGTCCCTACTAACCAGGTCCCCTGAACCCTTAAGTAGAAGCCGCCATAAACCCTAAACCTTAGAAGCTGCCCCCACCCTGTAATAGTGGTATAATAGGAATATAATAGGGCCCTAATATAATATTAATATAATCCTTATGGTCACTATTACAGGGTGGGGGCAGCTTCTAACCTAAACCCTTAAACCCTAAACCCCTGAACCCGAAACTCTGATCCCCAAGCCCTCTCCCAGAGATCCCAATACCCCTTAATTAAGAAATATGCCTTAAATTATAGAGGCCCTAATATTATGATTTAAGGTATATTCCTTAATTAAGGGGTATTGGGATCTCTGGGCTAAGCCGTATAAGACCTATAAGCCCTACCTTAACCCCAAGTAACCCTACCTTTTTAAGGGCTTCTATAAAGAAACCATATGAGGGAACCCTAAAAAGGCAGGTTCCTTAGGGTCCAGGTAGAAGCCCTATAAGCCCCATAAATCCTCAACCCCATCTCTGGGTTTCAAGTTCGGCGGGCTACAGTACTTAGGGGTACTTAGAAATGATTTGTAATTTTTGGTTATTATAATCCCTAAGAAACAGCTAAAATTATAATTTTTGCTAGGGTTCTGAGTTCAGTATAGTACAGGACAATACGGGGCACTTCATCTTCGCTGAGCTCTCTGCCGGCTTAGACAACTCGGACCATTGCGCGGTGCACACTTCCGAGGAGCCTGGGTTTGGGGTTTAAGGCTTAGGGGTTCAGGGTTTAGGGGTTTAGGGTTTAGGGTTTAGGGTTTAGGGTTTAGGGTTTAGGGTTTAGGGTACAGGGTTTAGGGTTTAGGGTTTAGGGTTCAGGGTTTAGGGTTTAGGGAGGCTTCTGCCTAAGGGCTCAAGGGACTTAGTAGGTAGGTTTCCATTTGGGGTTACAAGTACCATACGTAGGCTTATCCAAATTATCACCTTACTGACTTCGTTCCGTGAGCATGTAGGTCTGCTGCTTGTACTACTTCCACTACTTACTACCACTTGTAGCACTACTACCACTACTACCACCACCACCACCACTACTACTACCACCACCACCACCACCACGACTACTACTACTACTACTACTACTGCTACTACTGCTTCTACTGCGTCTACGGCTACTTCTAGTTCTGGCTCTTTCTTCCCTGCTGCTCGTACTACTGGTACAACTTTTGCTACTAGCACTGTTGTTGCGACTGATGCTCCGGCTACTACTGAGGACCAGGACGACGACGACCACAACGACGAACCCAGAGAGCCCAATACCCCTTAATGAAGGAATATGCCTTAAAGTATAAGGGGCTTCATATTATGATTTAAGCTATATTCCTTAATTAAGGGATACTGGGCTCTCTGGGAATACCTCCGCTATTGCTGCTACTCCCATCTCAAATCCGACTCCTTCTACTTCCCATCCCCTCCTCCTCTCCCTCCTCCTCCTCCTCCTCCTCACCCTGCCATTAATTACCACTAGTGCTGCTACTGCTGCGGCTACTGCTACGACTCCTACTACCCCTGTTCCTGCTCTTACTCCTACTCCTGCTCCTACTCCTGCTCGTAGTCCGACTCCTAAATTCCTGCTCCTACTCCTATTCCTATTCCTACACCTACTCCTCCTGCTGCTACTACTACTACTACTACTACTACTACTACTACTCCTACTACTACTACTACTGCCACCACCTCTCGCACTACCTCTATTACTAATGACGGCGGCTACGACTGCTTCTACTACGACGACCACTACGACTGCCCCTACCGGTGCTGCTACTGGTACGAACGCTGGTGATACTGATGCAGACCCCAACCCTGTGGACACTTATGCTTCAATACTTTACTTAATACAGACGCCTGAACAACTGCGAGGAGCATTAGGAATCCTAGCAGTCAGTGTAGCACAATATACCCTGAGCAACCCTATTCTAATTCTTCTAGGATGCCCAGTAGTACCCTTATTCCCTTTTTGTAGTCCTAGGTTCCTTATAAAGTTACCCAATACCAAAAAGAGAGGCCTTTTTATTCTTAGGTTACTGGGTATCCTAGTCTTAATAGGCCCCTATAGGATCAGATTCAGAGCCATCAGACACAGACCCAATAAGAAACATGTCGATTAACCCTAAACCCCGACCCACGAGCCCTGAACCTAGAGACTCCAATATCCCTTAATTAAGGAATATACCTTAAATCATATTAGGGACCCTACCCTAATTTAAGGAATATTCCTTAATTAAGGGATGTTGGAGTCTTTGGGAAGTCCCGTTGCTTCTTGGGTTTTTTCGGAGGCCCGAAACGCCCTTAGCGCCTTAACCTGGGCAGCCGAAGCCGTGTTGCAAGCCGCTCGATTTGGGAGTTTCGGAAAATAGGGGTACCTTATTTTGGGGTCATATATTAAGGATCCTCGTATTTAGGGTACTGTACTAGGGTCCCCTATTCTTCGAAACTCCCATTTGTTCAATTTCAGAATTTAGTAGCATTGCAATTCTATTTATTCGTATCTTTGTCTCTGTCTCTCTCTCTCACACATTCTCTCTGTACATGTTATATATATATATATATATGTATATGTATATATATATACATATATATATATACATGTATATATATATATATATATATGTACATGTATATCTATTTATATGCTATAATATACTCTTAAAGCCTTTTGCACCTGTTAAGGGCCGCTATATTCTTCAAACACAGCCCAGCATTCGGTATAGTATACTGGCCATGGATTGATCCGAATCTGGGAATCTCGAGCCTTCATCATGCCACTCACACTCGACGTAAGCCTTATGAGTGGCAAGACAGTGTCCCTGGAGACACACGGGGACGAATCCGTGGAATCACTACGGGTGCGTGCGCAGAGAGCCCTACGAGCCGGCAAAGGTCGACTCTTTAACTCCGCAGGAAGCGTTCCTGGGTTCCTG